TACGTCGTCGTACGTCGTCGTACGTCGTCGTCGTCGTCGTCGTCGTCTCGTCGTCTCGTCGTACGTCTCTCTCTCTCTCTCTCTCTCTCTCTCTCTCTCTCCTCCTCCTCCTCCTCCTCCTCCTCCTCCTCCTCCTCCTCCTCCTCCTCCTCCTCCTCTCTCTCTCTCTCTCTCTCTCTCTCTCTCTCTCTCTCTCTCTCTCTCTCTCTCTCTCTCTCTCTCTCTACCCAAGTGATTTGCATTGTTGGTAGTTTTCTAGTGCTAGAAATGCATTACTGTAGATTGCTCTTTGTGCTTCAAATTGTTTGTAACTTTGTTTCATATACTAAAACATAGCTTCATGGTGGCTGGAATAAGTACTTTTGGTTATCAATACATCTGTTTTGTTATATTTCTCTTTCAGGAGTATAACTTCATTCTTTTTGGACAGTATTCTCTTGATATTTTTTCGGTAGTGGAAGTAATTATGTTTCAGATCTTGTGTAGTGTTATGCTTTCTGAATGGAGGAATTCGCTAACATTTTGAATTGTTCTTAACTATAGAAATTTATCTGGTGCTAAGAAGAAAGCCCATCACTGATTTCTTTCACTTAGTGAAATGGACGTTGTGTTTAGTTCTATCTCCTATAATTATAGTTCTATGTTCTATAATCTGTATCCTCTATTTCATAAAAGTTTATTTGAAGGTTTATTTGAGAATTTAGTGAAGAAATTGGAGTATATAATTCATCTATATAGTGAACTGGAACTTTAACCAAATTTAGCAGTAATGACTGCTAATAATACCCAAGGTTTTGTAATTTTCATCTGAAATTGACATTACTCGCAATGCCTTGCATGCATAGCCTTACCATCAATGGTCCGATTTGGTTTGTTAATGGAGCAGTTATATTTCAACATGTGTAGGTGAAGACAGTGAGAAGTTGAGTTTGATTAAACTCGCTAGTATGTTCGAGATTTCTTCTAAGAAAGGCACCAGGGACCTAAATCTTCAAGGCAAACTGACAGAGCAAATAGAGTGGCTCCCCGATTCCTTAGGGAAGCTCTCTGGCCTATGCACCCTTGACCTTTCAGAAAACCGAATAGTAGCCCTACCCAACACTATAGGAGGCCTTTCCTCTCTAACTAAACTCGACCTCCACTCTAATCGGTTAGAGGAGCTCCCTGACTCTTTCGGGGACTTGTTTTGCTTGGTCGATTTGGATTTGCGTGGAAACCGATTAAGATCATTGCCTTCAACTTTTGGAAAACTATCTCGACTTGATAACCTTGACCTGAGCTCGAATCAGTTGTCCTCTCTCCCCAGCACAATAGGAAACCTCATAAGCCTCAAGATATTGAATGTTGAAACCAACGAGATAGAGGAACTACCCCATATGATAGGTCAGTGTTCTTCTCTTGTCGAGATTCGAGCTGATTTCAACCACTTGAAAGCTGTTCCTGAAGCAGTGGGAAGGCTCGAATCCTTAGAGGTTTTGACTTTGCATTATAACAAGATCAAAAGCCTACCTACTACCATGGCTTCTCTATTGAAATTGAAGGAGCTTGATGTGAGCTTTAATGAGCTCGAGTCAGTGCCTGAGAGCCTTTGCCTTGCTACCAACCTTGTGAAATTGAATGTAGGTAGGAATTTTGCGGATTTACAGGCTCTACCTCGATCTATTGGAAACCTCGAAATGCTTGAAGAGTTGGATATAAGCAATAACCAGATAAGGGTGCTCCCTGACTCCTTTGCTAAGCTATCCAATCTGCAAGTGCTTCATGCTGAAGAGACTCCATTGGAGGTGCCACCAAGACATGTAGCTGAAATGGGGGCTCAGGTATTTGGAAGTTCTCAAATCACTGTTGGATTGAAGGATATACTTTTGTGATGTACAGTTGAAATTTACTCATCCTCCCCACCAAATTTCCTGACATAAGTCAGATTCATAGGCTTAATTTGTAACAGTCTTTAGTTATCTTTCCTCTTCAAAACGGAAAGGGCATCATGGCCTTCATCAATATGTCATGGTATATATGTCATCGTTTTATACCATGCAATTTGAATGAAGTCAATCAATTTTCCAAAAATGTATTTTTTTACTAATTTTGATTCCGAGTTACATAAAAAGAATTTGATCAAAATTTCTGCCAAAATTCTTCTGGAGTTTCAAATTTCAGCCACTTTTCCTTCGTTTTTTTTTGCCTTTTTAAATATGTTTGATGAATCAATTGTGAAATTGGATGCCTTGGTTTATCGCTTTTGTCAAAATGCATCTGACTCTCGAAAAATTTGACACTTGATTGTAGTCTTCAGTGTTTATTTTCTTTTTCTCATTTTTTCAAATGATTCATTTTCTGCTCGATCAGAAGATGATTAGTTCTATGCTTGCTCTTTAGGCTGTTGTTCAGTACATGGCTGAGTATGTTGCCAAGAGAGATTCCAAGACTCAGACAGTTAAACAAAAGAAAAGTTGGGCTCAGTTTTGTTTCTTCTCCCGGCCTAACAAGAGGAAGCACTATGGCATGGACTATGTCAAAGCCTAAGCTCCATAGGCTTTTTGGAGTACTAATTTTGACAAGGGGATTTTGGGTGAGTACATCCTTCTCAGATTCAAGAATTCAGCTACACTTATCTTTTCTCATCTGTTTTAGAAATCCAATCCTTTCTTCCTAAGTAACTTATGTGATCCATTTTTAATTGTTAATCCTGTCTTTGCTTCTGCACATCTGTCTATAAATTCTATCATCATCTCTGTCTTTAATTGCTGAAACTATTTATGATTTTCTTCATCAATCTATAAATTCCATCATTTTCTCTTTCTATATTATTCACAGTATATTATGGGAGATTGAGGCAATAATTCGACACTAACACGATGGAATCTCAGATTCCATCCTTAAGGCAAGTGAACTTTCATCTTGACCATTATGCCCTTGAAGGTTGTTGCATCTTTATTTGGATTGCCTTTGTACAAGAAAGAGATGTATCATTTGCGGCAGAAAGAAATTGTACGATTAGCTTTTTTGTGTTTTTTTTGTTTTTCCTTTTGTTTTTTTGGGCATAACATAATATGAGGGCAGCCATGCAAATCTTGCCTTCTGCCCCTGTTAATTTACCAGCACTTGTATAATAACAGATCATGGTTATAACAGATCACTCTGTTTTTTTTCTTTCATTTATTTCTTTTGGGCGTACCAAATGATTTATTTTTTCTGTGAGTACCAAAATTATGGGATATTGAACTGGGATACTTCGTTTTTTTTTCAGTTTGGTCTTATAGTAAATGAGGCTTGTTCTGCAATCCATGTATCATATGCTATAGCTTGAGCTTCATTTGCTATTATAGGTACTGAACATACACGATTCTTTTAGAATTCAATTGGCTTACAACTCCACTGCTTCTGTATAATAAATTTGAAAAGAGCTCGGGAGTGTTTAGGGGTCTATTGTAAAATAGGTGAAAAAGGCTACTGTAGAATGAACTTCTATTTCGCCATAAATTTTTTCCAAACCGGGGTCGGTGAGGAGCTGGACTAAAACAGATGAAGGATTTGGGAGCTCGGAGTACACTGCGGTAAGACAAATTGGAACTGCACATTTACAGCATATGTTGACTTTCCATAACGCAGTATTACCTATGTTGCTTTCAAAGTCTCCATATATTACCTTGAGCATAATATTCTTCTGTTACATGCTTTTGGGCTGATTTTTATATGGACAGATTGATTTTTGTTTCTTCTTTATCTAAGCCTTGTATATGATGGATAACTTCTCATATTGCACTAGTAACTGTTTTGCTTTCTAACTCTTTAATATGTGGGTGAGGTTTGTATAAGGTGTCAACCTTATACTATTGAAGTACGGTGCACCTCAAAACTATGTTGAAAATGCAGTTTTGGTGCCACAGAGCTCTGTGATGATATGAAAATCTATTGTTGCCCCTAATTATGGAATTTAAAGTTCCAGAAACGGTAACCATCAAGGAGATCTATATACGTTTGAAAATCTTGAAAATGGATGGTCCAGATAATGTGTTAGAAGATGAACTATTTTCGGACTAGAAATCCCTTTTTTTCATGACTATGAATCTCGAGGTCGAGATGATCGATTTGATAATTTTCCAGCATAGGAACAACCTTATCTAGTGGGTTTTCTAGGTGCACCTTGCTTGTACAGTATAAGGTTGACACCTTATGTAAACTTTTTCCTTTATTATATTAGCTTGAGCATAAAATTCTTCTGTCATATGCTTTTGGGCTGATTTTGATATGGATGGATTGCTGTTTGTTTATTTTTTATGTGTTCCTTGTGATGGATAAACCTTATGTTCTGTATTATGAGATTTGAGATTTATTTGTTCATTATGTAATATCTTTGTAATCATTCTCTAAAACTTTTTAGCGCTTTGGATACCTGGGTATCTAGTTAATAGGATTCTGGATTTTTTCTATGGCAATTGCTTTCGAAAGTTCTTTTATGCTGCTTATTAGAATGAGAGTCAATCCCCTTGAAGTTTTGGCAACAATTCAAGTAGAACTTACCATTATTCAAGCAGATCATCCATTGGACTATGACATAGCATGCTCATTGTCCATTGGGGTCATCATGGTGTGCTGAATTGATGAATGGTGTTGGACAGTAAGTGTGACCTACTAAGGACTGAATTCAGATTCCAATTTCCATTGCTGCGCTTCGTTTCATTTGATGCCGATGACCAAATTTGACAACTGTTTCCGTTGCTCACTGGACTATGGTGTTACTTCTACATCATTATATGTACTCCTCATTCATGTCGAAGATTCATTCGTAGCTGCAATTCTTGGTTCCAGTTCGTGAATAAGCTATGTGACTGGATTTTCATGGCAGATGGCAAAGAACTTTGTGAGTGTAGTTTCTGTGAAGTCAGATAAATTGACGATCCACTTGGAACAGTTCTCAGATGCATTCAACTAGATGAGACTGATAGGGAAGCAACTCTACTCCATAGGAACTGAAAATAGAGACAAACCAAGGGGTGAGTGACATGTGGCCATAGTGGCCCTGTGAAAAGAAAAAATGATCCCTGTTGTTTCTTAATGTGAGATTAGGACTTTCTTGTTGGTATTGGGTGCATTATCTAGATCCACTTAGGCGGCTTGACTGACAAACCGCCTAGGTGCAGCTTAGGTGGTGGGGTCTGGGCAGACGTGCTTAAGGTGGGCACCTAAACGGTCAAGGTAGTGTCCCACTTGGTGCCATCCTTTAAAAAAAAAAAAATTCAAATTCACCGAAACAAAATAAAGCATGGAATTGGCTCTCTCTCTCTCTCTCTTTCAGGTCCATGCGCACTCTCTACATATGAGAAGAAGAATTCAATGGGGCCTCTCTCTCACACACATACATGTGAAGATACACATGGACCTATATGTTCCCTCTTTATAAGTAAGAAGACAATGACCTCCAAGTGTTCGATAAGAGGCCTCTCTCTCTAGCGGATTTTTTCTCTCTTTCTCCTATCCTCAAAGTGTTTGAAACCCCTCTCTCTCACAAATATAGATTCAAAAGAAAAACGATGGAAAAAGAAGGATCTTTAAGAATTTCGTACGAGGCTTGACATATACATGCATATGTACATGCATGTACTAAATGCATACATACATATATTCAGAAACACACACAAAACAACATATGGCTCCACCGCAAGCTCTTTTTCTTAAGGCTGCCCAGTTATTTGGGCGCATATCTAGGTGACCGCATCCGTCTTTTTGAACATTGAACCGCATTCGCCTTTTTGAACATTGAACTAGGTTAACCAAGGGTGGTGCTTTTTCGGATGGTGGATCTCTCTCCTCTCTCTCTCTCAGACACTCGCAATCTAGGTTGACCTAGGGTGGTGCCTTTTCTGAGGGTGGATCTGTCTCTCACAGAGACACCTGCTCCTGGTGTACTGCTTCTTACGTTAGTGGCTGTGCCTTTTTTGTAGGTGATCTCTCTTTCTCTTTCTCCCTCACGCGCTCGCACACATACCCCATCCTCACAATTAAAAAGGCATTGTTCAAGTGAGTGTGCGCATGTGTATGTGTATGTATGAGAGAAAAATCTACCAATAAAAGGGAGCATCCAGATAGAGAGATCAACTTAAAAGGCAGTGTCTCAAGAGTGTAGAGAATTGATGCTGATAAGTTATAAGTCTGGCTCCCTTGGCTTCAAAGCACAATCAAAGTAAGGTACATCTTCAAATAGCTAGGAATGTGGTTTAAATATGGAAAATATTCGCGATAGCTTTAAAATATATTTTCATCTCTAATTATAAAATTTAAATCTCATTGTAGATCGAGCAGATTTCTAAAAACTTGAAAATCTTGAAAATTAACAGTAAAAAAATGTAGTGAGGGATGCACTATTTTCAAAATTTGAAATCCATATTTTTTTTAATCTCCGTACACCTTAATGTTGAGATCATTAATTTGAGCATATTTGAGCATCAAAACAATTTTTTCTAGTGAAATTTTTGAGATCCCCTATAAATGTCACATATATATATCAAAAAGCTACCAGATATAACCACACATATATCAAAAGTTAAGGGATATAGCCAATAATCCTGATTTACTTGGATTCATTTTCTTTATCCAGCCTTAACCGTAGTTGCAGTAGGGCAATGATTTTGCCTCTCACCGTCTTTAACAGTTACCACCTTCACAGCAAATCACCTTAGTCGACAATTACCGCATTGATATCAAAATTACCTACTCTTATTTGATAATTACCACATTGATATCAAAATTACCTACTCACTAGCATCGACCCTGCCAGGTTAAAAGTCACATGGGCCAACCTAGTTTACTTGGCAGCCCGAGGTGTATCATATTGAGGTTATACGTGGTAAACACAGAAAGGTATGATTTAATTGAAAGCATAGCGACAATTATCTTTATTGGGGTATAATTTTATAAGGAGATTGTTGCCTTTGTATTTTGGATTTGGAGCTCATTGGGTAATAGTAGGAGTTTCATGTACCAAATTAAGGACAAGGTTTTTATGTGTCGGCAGACTCGCCCATTCATGCGATGACTCCTTCCAAAATCCATCATGGGCGAACACGAATTATAAAAAATAAAATAAAATAAATTTTAAAATAAAAAATAAATTTTAATGTACTTTTCTAGTTTTTTGATTTAGAGATTATAGTGGGACTACAACCTTTTTAGCATCCATCTTTAAGATGGATGCTAGTTGCATCATGGGTTGCACATGTAGAAATGCGTCCCTCGATGCCTTCTACATTTTTCCTTAAATTAATACTATTTCTATAATAATTATATGAATTCATTTTACATGCAAAAAGGCAAAGGTATTAAAAATTTGCTATAATTTTTAAGGGAAGCATAGAAAGCTTGCCCAATTTTTAATGCATATAAAATTTAATTGTCAAAACTAATTATCCAACTCAATAGCTTTAACTAACATACCCTTGTTAATCCCTTGCATATTGCCACCCCACAACCTTATTGACATTTTTCGGAGCTGTTTTGATGTTAAGTGAAAAACTTATTTTTTCAGAGCTGTTTGACTACCTTCAGTCAACTCGATTCATAATTTTTTTATTTTTTATTTTAGTTTTTTTGTTCGTAGGACAGTGCCTCAAACTTTAAGGCACAGCTTTATTAACAAAAAAAATAAAAAATTTATTTGACTGAGCGGTAATTTTGAAAAAAGTAAAAAAAAAAACTTAGACGGACCTTTTGGATGATCTACCCCACCGATCCGGCCTTTGAATGGTTGGTTTAAGTAACGAGAGCTACTTGATGGCATGCTAAGAAAATGGGAGTTGATTGTGAGAAGCTTCTTCATTCGATAGTCACTACTTGTCTTCAGATTTGAATTTAGGCGAAGCCATCTCAACTTTGAATCAAATGGCCAGTGAATTAAGATTCTCTCATTTCTTTTGAATGCATTCATGTGAATTGATTAATCTATGAGATTTCCTAAAAGATTATATGCTTTATCTGTTTGGCTAACTTATCAAGCTAAAAACACAGGGTGATTTATTATTGACTTGATTTATATTCACAAATGCATGAAGATATTTACATTTTAATTATTAATTGATTTATCTATGAAATGCCTGAAAATGCCAAATTTTCTTCTTTAATTGGTTACCAGTAAAGTGCCTGAAAATTGATGCAATGAAAGTAGTATCGGTTCTTTAAGTGATTTGTCCATAAAATAGATTAAAAAAGTAGCATTTTATTTGTTTTGGCTTTATTTATCGCTAAAATGGCTGATAAATGCTATATTTTCTTTGTTTTGATTGATCAATATAATGGCTGAAAATTGCATCATTATTTATCTATTTTGTACGTTATCATATATGCATTTAATGCGTCAAAGTAAGATTGGAGGCTGACCTGTTTGTAGCAAAGAGGAGAGAGACCTAGTGTCGATGAATTTCTCCAACAGATTTTGGATCTTTCCTAAAAAAAACTTTTCACCCCAGATTTTGGATCAAGGCAAATAAGTCAATCTCCTTAGAAAACCATTTCCTGGTAATCTTTTTCCAGTGATCTAAATGGCCCAAAATTGCTAACATCCTAAATTTTATTTGGTTTTAGATTGTTTTATGAATGAAATAACTGAAAAAACTGCATCTTATTTGTGTTTGAATTGAAGCACTGATAAGATGCTTGGAAATACTGCATTTTTTTATTTCGCTTTGATTTAGCAATAAATGTATGAAAATTACTCTATTTTTATTTAATATTGTGATTATTTATTCAATTGCCTATTTGTGTTGTAGTTAGATTGGAGACTAGAGATAAAGACCCAATCTGAAGATTGGAACAATGAGGAGCACGATTTAGGACATAAAAGAACAAAAACAAAAAAGGTCTTTTTTTTATTAGGACTACCATGATTTTTTCGGAAAAAAAAGACAGGCTATTTCAGTAAATTTAATAAGTAAAAAAGATAGAGAGAGAGAGATACTTAGGTCCATACCCCCTAAATTTCCATTATTATAGATACCACCCCAAAATTATTTTAAGTTCATACCCATTTTTGCCTTTTTTCATTTTTCCCCAAAATGCCTACTCTTCAGACCTCGAAAGTCCGAAATGGGAAGCGGTAAAGAATTATTGACTTTAGATCTTCTAAATCCGAAGTCTAATAAATCTTGACTTCATACATTTTGAAGTACAAAGTCAAAAAGTCAATGCTTTTTAGTCTTGACTTTGAATCTCAAAAGTCTGAATTGTAACAAAATTTTTGTCTTTAGATCTTCAAAGTCAGAAATCAAATTAAGATGTTGATGTTAGATATAACTATCTAAAAGTCATCACCATAAAGAATCCCATGTTATATGGGATTGGGATTGATATTGACATCAGTAAGTTTAATTATGAAAGCTATTGAAGTTTTCTATTTGTAATGGATTCATAATATATATAGAATAAGAGAGCAAAGAATATATGTGCCTTGCTAGAATTACCATTTGGGAAAGGTGGCTTATTATATAGACAGAGGTGGGGGCAATCTGCATTGAGATGCAAGACCTCCCCATAGAGGGCAATGAGCCTCCAAGAGAAAAATACTACGATGGTGGATTATCATGGAGATTTTGGGTGGTACCTTATTTCAGGGAGATAAAGTCACAGTTGTTATCAAGGTTCACTTGTTGAATAATGGTTTTGTTATAGAAAAGAGATAAAAGATTAGTGGGTAATGGCAGTCACAGGAACTAGTCTAAAAGGGTTGCTTGATTGGATTTTGTCGAGGGTTGCAAAGGTAACTTTGTATCCCAAAATCTGTGATATATCTCTCATCGCTATTGTAGATTTCAGTTTGCCATACCTGTGGATGTAGCCCTTTTGGGATGAATCACATAAAGTTTTGTGTTCTTACGGTGTGTATATACTGTGTTTTATTTCTCGTATTATAGTTTGTATTGTCGCTGATTTTATTTGCAGCCAGTCAAGTACATAACTTTGGTGGATCCAACTTCTGGGGTTTATGTTTCTGCATAGATGGGTGACATTGAATCCTAAAAAGTGGTATCAGAGCATGTTGTTCAGTACCAAGCTCAGGTTTGTGCATTTTGTGAAAAAAAAAAATAGATGGCAAAGAGTCTCAAAGCTCATTTGTCTGGTACCCTTTTTTATACTATTCACTCTAATTCTTCAAATATTAGATAATGACATGGGGCCTTGGTGGTATTATTGCTGAGCTCCATGATGAAAGTCATT